GATAGATAGATAGATAGATAGATAGATAGATAGATAGATAGATAGATGGACGGACAGATAGATAGATAGATAGATAGATAGATAGATAGATAGATAGATAGGAAATATAAATGTTGGTTAACCAGATAGGCCTGAAGTGGCATCATGTAAGTGTTCTGAATTTTTACTTCCCTGAGTCCTTGTGAGGGTGAGGGCCTGTTCATATATTTATCGTCTCCTTTTCTGAAAGACCTTTATTCTAACCGTTTGCCTGTCTTCATTGTGTTTATTTCTCATAGATTTGAGGACATTTTTAACAAACACCCAAACAGTCTTTTTCTCAAGATACATTTCATGTATTTCCTTCCAGCAAAACATTTGTGCCTCCCTCCCCCCAACTTTCCTTTGAATGACTGGAATTTGGTCATTTTAAATTTATTCTGTGATCCCAGCAGAGGCAGGTAGATCTCTGTGAGTTGGAGGCCAGTCTGGTCTACAAAGTGAGTTCAGGACAGCCAAGGCTACACAGAGAAACCTTGTCTCAAAAAAACAAAACAAAACAAATGAACAATCAAATCTTTTCTTTTCCAGGATGTGTATGTCACAGAGAAAGAGAGAGAGAGAGAGAGAGAGAGAGAGATTTGCTTTGGAAACTCTTAGATTATAATCACTGAGTTGATAAGATTAGTTTGAGGACTTTTTTTTTTTTTTTTTTTTCCCTTTGTTGCATGGTAAGGTTTGAGACTGGCCTGAATCCTTTCAAGTTCATCAATAGAATGATATATGGCCAAACAAGGTCCTGGGAGCACCTGCTATACCAGGAAGCTGAGGTACAGCCAAGCAGCAGCCCAGCTGGGCAAGGCACTGTTATTACCAAGTCTCCCTTGAAATTTCACCTCTAGTGGGCTTTTAGAGTTTCTCTTTGTGCTTTGAGACCATGGAAACTGAAGCCCAAGCTCATTTGTTTTTGCCATCACTAAATGCTTGAACTTAATGCATTCCTAACTTTGGGGGATTTGCCAGTACATCAGGCATTTTAAAATAATTTCCTTGTGGCTTTCTGTTTTCTAGTCTGTGTGGACATCTTGTCAGATAAGGAAGTCTTCAGGGTCTTGTTGTCTCTAAAACAACTTATGCCCTTCCTAACACATGAATATTATGGAGCAACCAGCCCGTAGAGAGGCAGGTGGCATCCAGAGAAGGCACACACTCAATTCTTAGAACTTCTGCAAGTGTGCTCCATTTCCTAGGGAGGCAACTGCTCTGAGTGTACAGGGTGCTGTCCACGAGAAGGAAAGGCAGAGAAAGTCCACAAGATGAGCAGTTGTCTGTCTCTCATGGTCTCCATCATTGACTTATATCAGAGACATGCAGTGTTCCGCACATCTCATCAGCCATGTTTGGATTCTTTATGAACTGAAAAGCATGGCATTGGTTTGCAGAGCACTGCCATTGGTTTCCTTGATCCATAGTCAAAGGGGGTCTGTGGGGTGATTTTCACCCACCCCATCAGGGTTACACATCACTCACACTGGACTCTTCTTAGCATAAATGAGCTCTTTAAACCAGCATGTCTAAGAGAAAAGGTGTGTATTTGTGTGTGCATGTGTGTTCTTTCATGCTTATCTGTACATTCATATGTGAAAACAAAGGTTGATGTTTAGTGTCTTCCTCTGTCATTTTCTACTTTAGTTTTTGAGGCAGCCTGTCATTGGAGCTGGAGCTCACTGATTGATTTTCTGGCCAACAAACCCAGGGATCTGCTAGTGTATGTCCCCCACACCCCAATATTCCACTGTGAACCTCTGTGCCTACTGGTCTTTCTGCTCAGGCAGAAGACTCTTTATCTAGAAAGCCATGTCTTTGCCCTGAGACTTTTTTTTTTCTTTTTTTTTAATAAACACCCATGGGGTTAGAGTTTGATGTGACCACTTTCATGTTCAGACTTACTGTTTTGCATTAGGTATATCAAGACACTACCCTTGCTACTGCTCAGCTGTACTGTCTGAGACACAACCCTGGCAAATACCTCAGCCTGTGCATTCAGGATCACAGGTGTGTACCTATCACACCTAGTTCAACAGCTGGCACCACAGGCCCTGCATGCACTCTTGTCAGTAGTTGCAAAACAAACAAACACACAAACAAAAAACAACCAACCAACCAACTAAACAAACAAACAAAAACAAAAAAAGGCTTTCTATGGAGTTTCCTGAAGGAGCTGATGGCCAAAGGTCAAAGAATTTAACTTTTCCAGAAATATGTTTTTAGATTAATGTTTGGGATCTTCTGGTCTAATGTTGAAGTGTCCCCCATAATGAGAGCAGTGGGACCAGTGAGGAGATTGACATCGATTTAGAAGACTATCAGTGACATGACACTAGCCTAGAGGCTGGATCATGGAATTTGGTATCACATTACCCAGGCATGGAGAGCAATTTGTTGAGCTTTGGGAATCTGGTGTACCTTATCAACTTCTGTGGTGACTGTAAGACCTGCATATAGGCCCATAAAAATACAACTGAGGATGTTTTTAGAAGTCCTAGAGGCATTTGAACAATACCTTGCATGGGGCCATGGATGGAGAGGAATTTCACCAGTCATGGCCATTTGGATGTCATATCCCTGAAAGGTCAGGGTCCTAGAGAGTGTTTCTTCTGTACTAGTCAAATGCTGGAGGGAGACAGCAATGATTGAGTTGTTAGTTTAAAGTCATATCAAGGAAGCACTTAGTAACAGGACCAAAAGGCCTCCTATTAAGGGTGACTGAGTGGGAGGAGATGCCCATTCCCTGCCTTCATGTTGATACCCAATAAAAAGAAGGAGGCAGGTGATAAGCAGTGTATCCCAAGTCTGTTCCCAATGAGATCTGCATGTCCATGTTCATTAAGAACATCACCTTAGAAAGTCAAGCTTGGGTGATATGTGTTTAGCCTAGGCATGGCTGTAGCGTGTTTCAGGCCAGTTTTAGTGGAAAGGCTTATTATGGTTCAGCTGAAGGTTGCTATTTCATAATTAATCTCCTCTTTGTTCTTTTTCACCCATCCGCATTACTGACCCAGATAATGGATAATATGGGGAAGGCCAGAGAGGAGTGAGTGGTACAGCCAGGGAAGCCGTTGGTGTGATAACCTCCAACCCAAGTTGATTTGGGGAGCCAGGGGCATTTCACCCACTTCAAGGAGTTCAGAGTCCACATTTTTCTCCTTAGTGTTATGCCTGGCCTGGCCTGAGTCTGCTTGCGGCTTGTGTTGGTGATGATGTGTTGATTAAGTCTGAAGCCAGGCCACCTTGACAGGCTTCCTGACTTCAGGTGGCTCAAAGGCTGCTTTGCTGTTCAGAGCCGCTCACCACATGCCCTGGTAATGTGGGAAATGTCCCCAGCAGGGAAAGAGAACTATGAGTCCTCTGTGCAAAGAACTAACTGCTTGGGAGCTTAGAGCCCGCTGTCTGCTCCAGCTTGCTTCACTGGGAACTGACAGTTTCCTTAAGGTGGTCTTTAGCTGCCTGTCTTGGGGCAATACTCTGGTTAGGATTTTTCAGGTCTGCTCAGTTGGGGAATCCTGCGGTTGTCCTGGACCCCTTCTCTGCCAAGGGTGTGACCTATTAACCGATCTGGTTAGTGTTGCTGGGGGCCTGTGACTGACTATATCTCTCCTCAGACCTCTCTGCCTCTTTCCTTTTTCCTCTTCGAGGAAAGGTACCACTTTCCTCGATGCAACACATTGATCCCTGTCATCCCTGGTGATCTGTCCCATTCTGGGACAAAACATGTGCTGTGTCTTTAAATGGGCGGAAGTGGCTGGTGGTGCTTTGCCTGGGTACTGCATTGATTAGGAGATTACATGGAGCTGCCGCCTGGGGGAGGAGAGTGCAGGTTCTGCTAGGTCGGTGCTCTGATCCTCCCGGCCCTCCTTGCCTTTCCTCCCTGAGGCAGCTAGCTCATGGCCGGTAGGAGGTGAGGGAGGGAGGGTGGCTGGCGGCCAGCCTGACTGTGGATGCAACTCCAGGGCTCAGCTCAGGCTTGCCAGAGTACCCATCCTCATCAGAGACTGGCAGTGGCGGCAACAGCCGGGGCAGCCGGCTCCAGCCTGGGGCTGGATTTGCCCAAGCTGCCCTTGGCCTCTGAGCCCAGCTGAGAGCTGGGAGAGGGCAGTTGGGAACAGGAGCAGAGAAGCAGCAGCTCTCTCTCTCTTTCTCTCTCTCTTTCTCCTTTTCCATCCCTCCCTCCCTCTCTCTACTTCTTTCCCTGTGTTCAAGTCACACATTATATGGGATTCTGCTCTTTTGGGACTTCGTCATCTTTTCCACTATGTCCTGGGACCTCCGGAGCTGTGACAGGGATGCTAAGGACACGGTCAGTGGATTCTCGTGACTGTACTAATGAAAGGATTCAAGCTCTCCTGGTAAGTGGAGGACGGATAAGGTGCATTCTCTTCCATCCTTCTTCACCTGTGTGTTCTGCCAGCACCCTTCAAAGGTCTCCTTGAGACAGGCCTGTCTCACTGGGTGGGCATCAAGGTGTCAAGATAGGGATGGCAAACCTTAAAGTTGAACAAGTACTCTCCCCTGGCTCAGCTAGCACCCACAGTGCTGTGGTATTTTCTCCCGGCATGTTCTCTGTGGTCAGGGGTTTGTAGAAGTTGGGAGGCTGTGGAGAAAACCTAATAGAAACTGAAAAGAGCCTCCAGCTTTGAGGGCTTGGGGTGGTTGTACGCAGAGGGGGAACTTTATTCAGAGATATTCTTTCCTGTGTCTTGCACTTGTTCTGGGCTGGGGGACCTTGACTGTCTCCCTGGGGAGCCTTTTTCTTGTCATCATTTAGGATCAGCCACAGATGAGGCAGCCTCTGGCTTCTCTAGGAGGTTTCTCCCTAAGGAGTGATAGGGACCGGCCCCCTCCAAGGGAGAGTGGGCATGTACCTTGGGGCTTTGCAAGTGTTTGACTCCTGCTGGGCTTAATATTGGAGCATGAAAAGAACTTCTGGTTTGGAGTATGTGGGGATAGTTGTATTCTAGCTGCAGCCGTAGGCAGAGTATTTTTACCTTCTGTTTTAAAAATAAAACACTTACTGTTCCCTCTTCTCCTTTGATCCACTGAGGACCAGATGGGTTGGGGAACTGGTTTTTTTTTTTTTTTTTTGGTCTGCCTGAGAGAAACTGCAGATTTTGCTTGGAAAACTTTGCCCTCCTAGGAATCTGGTAGGGAATCCTAGGTAGGGAATCCTGGTAGGGAATCTGCCTAGGAATCCTGTGCAGCTGCCTAGGAGGAGATAAACCCCTGGTGGGGGGGGGGGGGGCTTTTTAACTCCAGAAGAGGGTGAAGGTAGGAGGAGAATAGCTTGGAGAAGCTCTCTGCAGGGATGGGGCCTACCTTTTTTGTGGACCTGCTGTCCAAGCTGGCTGGGGCTGCGGAGGCATCCCTATGGGTGGCAGGTTGATTTTTAGAATTGGGGATGAGATCAAGCACTTTAAGCAAGGAGTCTTAGCCTGGCTGCAGGTCGCTTCTTGTTTTCTAGAAGCTCCTATCCAAATCAACCTCATGGGGTAGACTGTGCTACCCCATGGCATAGTCTAGCTCTCCTGCCATAAGCATGAACATTCTTTAGGGGGCCCTGAGAAGGGCAAAGAGTGAAGCTGAGTTCTGCAAGATTAGCCCATAATAACTGCAATCTCCCAAGCTTGGGGAGAGCTGGTGACCGCTTAGCCTCAAGCCGCTTCTCCTCCAGACAAGGGTTTGCTCCGTGGGGTGCTGGGGTGCTGAGGTGCTGAGTCCTTGGGCTGAAGCCTCTCCTTTGAGTTTGGGACAAGGAAGTACAGGCCCTGCAGTTATCTCTGCCCTTGCTCTCTTGGAGGCTTGCCTGTCCCACTGTGTTGCAAACTGTCAACCCGTGTCTCTTGCCATCAGTAATTCCAGGCCCATAGGGGTGGCCAGAGCTGTTTTCATTCCTCAGTGGAGCAGACCCAGGCATCCTAGCAAAGCGCAGGTGCTTCCAGCCGCACAGAGATCCTGGACTCTCCATCAAAATCACTCAGTACCCTTCCCCTGTTGTCAGCATACCCAGCTTGGGACCTAGGTAGACGGACTGTCATTCAGATGAGACATCACTTTTAACAGGGATGCCTCTTGGCTGAGCCCGGCTGGGTCCCTCAGGGACATGCAGAGATGTTTGCCTTTGAAATCTGTTGTGAGTATCTCTTGATGCATTTCAACAAGGAGAGCAGTGCTCAGCTGGGAGCCGTAATTGGCCAACCTTGTCTTCTTCATATGAAGAGATTCAGGGATATTTCTGTCTTTTATGCCAGTCTGGATGCTGTCGCATGAACGATAGACATATCAGTCTACTGTGTCCTCGCTTTGCAGTTGTTGTGGCTGTTTTGGGAAAGAAGTGGCTGGCTCCCTTTGGCATTCCATGTTAGGTGTACCCTACTTCTAGGAAGCAAGGTGATGCTGAGCATCTTGTCCTGGGTAATACTGTCTAACTGGACACGGAAGAGGATGGGCTTAGCAAGCTTTCTAATGTTTGAAATCATCTCTAGGAACACTTCTAGGTTTCCTCCTATGTATAGGTGACATAAAAATGGTGGTACTTATGTTCATAGAAGTAAGTAGTGTTTTACCACTTATTGAAATTTACTTTGTGTCAAGCTACATTAAGTACTTTGCATGTATTAGCATGGGCCATGCAGCACTCCAATTATGACCCCTCATTTTACAGACTGGGAAGCTGAGGCAGAGTTGAAGGCATATACAGAGAAATCAGGCTTTGTGTGTATCAGGGCTTGCTGCAGGGTCATGTTGCAGCAATCTACCTGTTCTTGGTTACTCTTGCATCTCACTTTCCCTGTATGTAAGACCACATTCTAGACTCTTTCCTTGTTCCGATGTCTCATTAGGAAGATTATCTCATTTGACATATGTGCTCAGTGTTGACAAACTGAGGCCTAGAGACATAAACTGTTTAGGATCGATGTATGTAACTAGTTCAGGAAAGAGGCAAGCTGTATTTACTTCACGATTATATGTGTGCAAGCATGGGTCTGTGTATAGGTATGCTTGCTCTGTGTGTGCCTGTGGAGGCCAAAGGCCAGCATCTATGCATCTTCCTCAATTGCTTTCTGTCTTATTCTTTGAGACCAGTGGCTGGCCAGTGGGCTCTGGGGGAATTCTGTCTTTGCCCTGCTGCGTTGGACCACTCCCAACTTTTGACACTGGTGCTAGGGATCCAGACTCAGGTCCTTGTGCCTTTATGGTGAGCATTTTATCCACTGAACCATTTCCTCAGCCCCTTCACAAACACAGGACAACTGTAATAATGGCAAGACGCATCTCTGTCACACCAACATTTCCACATAGAAGGTTCAAGGTCTGTAAGTCCATATATGCATCCATCCCTTCATTTTACAATTGTTGATCAAGTTTCATCATTGGTAACCCATTGTCTAGGAGGTAGGAGTTTAAAGTGTGTAAACAGTCATTCGTTACCTTAGCCTTCTAGAAACCAGTCCTCTCACTGGTAGAATGAGCCCCTCTTGCCTGAACACATGGTGTGAGCCAGTCAATGCTAAAGGCCATATAAGTGCCATCACCAGCTCTAGAAACTGATTTCAGCTGGTGGTGCAACAGAGCATGTCCTATTGTTAGGGAAATGAAGTCTTTACTGTACACAGCAATGGCGGCCATAACTCACCGAGTTCCAGACAGGTGATGCCTTAGGTTACGGGTTTTCACGATAGATGTGTGTTACTGACACATTTCTGGCTTCATCATGAGAGAAATCCCCCACCTTATTTCTCCTTTATCAGAGAGAAACTTAATTAAGCCTCCCTCAAAAGTTGCTTCAGTTGGCCTGGCCCATCTGCTGGTAATTTGGTGAGTAAGGTAAGGCTTGCAATGGAAGGAACTGAAAGGAGGTGTCGTGAATAAGGCTATGGCTATGGCCAAGTTGGGGAGGAAAGTATCACATATTTACTTTGGAAGCCAGTGTTCCTTTGTCTCCACATGACTGCTCTCCCCCACTCATTCTTCTTGTGATGGAAAGTTATCTCTAATTCCCTCAGAGCTTCAGAACAGAGTTCAGTTTTGTGAGGCCACTCCCTCCACATTGCTGTCCCCACACAGGCCCTGGCAGACTATGTAACATCTGTTGGATTCCCCCTGCTCCTGTTCCTGCTCTTCACATCTGCTGGGTTTGGTGGTTCAGGCATCACAGAGCCCCGAGGCCGGCATAGGCCTTCAGCAAAGTCACTGTAGGGGAGAAGCAGATTTTGTGAAACCAAACCCAAAAAAATCCAAGTTACAAAAGCATAGTCTGACACGGCAGGGAAGCACTTCCATGGGTAAGAACTCTACTCTCTGTGGGTCTTGTTAAATTGGCAGATGTTAGGCCTCAAACCTGGGACAAATGTCTACCTAGGTACCAATTTAACTAGCATGAGGACCAGTGAACTTCCATGGTGCATTCTCACCCCTGAGTTAGGAATGAGAGTGCTCCAACCCACCCCCTCATCACCCTCACCGCTCTCTTGCTTTCTTCCCAGGTGACTGGAGAGTCAACTGACTGGCTTTTGTCCTCATTTTCCAGCCATGTTTTATTGACACCAAAAGTCAATTGTCCATTGTTCTCTTTCTTTTTAGATCTGTTAATGAATGATTCCCTGTTTCTTCCCCATCTCTTGTCTAGACCACATACCTGTCTTTAGAGGTTCTTTCAGGGAGAAGTGCTGTGATAGATGAGGGAGCCCAGTGAGGCCTCCATATACCTCCTGTAGAGTCTGACCTCACAGCCTTTGAGAAGCTCTCCAGAAGGAGAGAAGACTGGGGTCTATCAGTGTCTTGAAAGAGACTCACAAATGGAAATCTTGCCACTACCTTTTTGGCCTGCTGTGGGCCTGGGTAGGGGACTTCTGTTTACCTTGGGTGGTGATATTTTTTGAAAGCAGGATTAAATGCCAGCGCTGGGTAGACTAGTTATATCCCAGCTTCCTTTTTTTTTTTTTTT